TCCAATCACTTTTAGAGTCTTCTATCCAGTTTCCTCCCCCCACCTACTTCTTCACATTCCCAGAACAATGGGCAGCAAAAAAGAAAGCTTATGTATACATATGTATAGCCAACAGTCCTTCTGGGAGTGTGGGGGAGCAAGGCTAAGCCTCCTGAATAACCCAGTCCCTCTCTTTCCCCAAAAGCTAGCAAGCCCAAACTCACTTCCTATTATCACCCCATTCAATTAATTCTAAGTATCCATCTCCTTCATCTATTTTTACCTTCTTGGCTACTTCAGTGTTAGAATTTCTACTTCTTCATAGCCATTTAGGTTACAGAGCTACAAACATAGAAGCCTGGGAATGTACAGCAGTTACTATACGAACAAGCAAGGAATCTTACCATATCCTTCTATGCAGAAGTAGATACGTTCAGATTTAATACAGGAGACAGCACACAGCATACAGCATGTAGTGAAGAAATAAAAAGCAGTTACTCTCTTCGTCTGTATAAGCAGGTTAAGTCTGTCTAACAACAACTACCTGTGTATCTGTCATGGATGTTTTTTCATTCATCATAGACAAAACCCTCTGCTGGATCAGAACGCTCAGTGGGGACTCTGAGCAATACTGTTTTGCCTATGAAATGTTCTCATCATGACATGACCCTATACATCCGATGATAATCTAACTTCAGAGTCACCGATTGCTTTGAGGAATGTGCAAGTCATCATTCAGCCATTGCTGAGAAACACCAGATTGCAGTGGTGATCTGGCACCAGCCGCCAAATGGATTGAAGTGGATTGAAGTTCCCTTCTCCATCTCCACAAACGGGTATCCACACAAGAACAAAACTGTATCAAAGCAACAACAATAAAAATACAATGCAATTGCTGTTGCAAGTAGATAGGAGTAAAATCCTAAAATAAATTGAAACCATACAAAGAAAGTTGAGAAAAACATTTCCCTACATTGACTAAACAAGACGTTAGAACACCAATTCTTTCAAGTACTCTTTCCCTCAACTCCAAAGGTTTCATTTCACATCACCCACAATTTTTCCAAACCAATGTAAAAAAAAGACAAGTTACACACCTACCATCAACATTTAGATAGCTCAGAAACACTTCAGGATTATTAAGTTCTTCAGTTCTGGCAAAAAAAGCAGAACACACTTTATAGGACAGGGACAGCTAAGTGTGGCAATCTACTGTTGGAATCATACATCTCTCTCTAGAAACAAGAATAACTGAGAAGAACACTTGAGCCTCACAGATGCAACATTATTCACATTATAAACTACAGAGAAAAAGAGGTCTTAAAGAACTAACACGAGGGGAAAAAAAAAAAAAAACAAAAAACAAAATCTAAACTAAAAAGGTGAAAATACAGACTACAAATCCTGCAACCCAACTTAAGTTTCCCAGTTTTGACTGCACTCTATGGTCAGCCAATTCACTCATTTTAGGTCTCCATTTCTACAGCACAGCAAAAGCCACACAGCACTTCCAGGCCACATCAGTACATGCCCTTTTCTTTGCACCATCTCTTCAGAAACTCCTGCTCTGCCTCATTACAGCAGACAGCAGAGACCAACCAGTTAAGAAAGGGAAATAAATAAAGAATCAAATAAGCTAACAAAAAAAATGGTACAGCATCTGTATCAACAGATCAAATATCCATCTTATTTTTGAGAAGTCTGAGTGTAATCAAAGCAGTGGCAAAGGCAGGAGGAAGGAGACTGAGTAATGGGGAGCTCAGCTTAGTTCCCTGCAGACTGAACATGTGAATACTTGCATGTCACTGATGGATCCCTTTCAATACTCATCCAACAGTAAAATAACACTGCATTAAATTTTTTTTTAATAAATAAATATATAAATAAAAAATAATTTAAGCTAATGAAAGCTCAATGCAGGACTAGTATTCTCTACAAGAGTATAACATCCAACAAATAGAAAGCTCACAAACTGGCTGCTGCCAAGTATGTTACCTCTTCACCCTCCCTCAGTGACCACACCAACATCCATGCAGCATTCATTATGCTTAACAAGGCCTGACAACACTGGATTACCTGTCAGAACTAGGAAGAGGCAGCTTTCCTAAGATCTAATACGTAACAGCCAGCTGACATAACAGCACTGATGCTCTTCTCAGACACTTCAGGCTAAACCAGAGATCTTCATCGCAACAGCATCAAACACAAGCCAGCAAAATCAGCCTAACAGTGTAATTAGAGGGTAATTTACCTAACAGATCAGTTGGTTTTTCAAGGTTTAACTTCAGAAAGAGGAAGTAATATAATTGTTTTGCTTCTTAAATAAGAGAAGGCATTTAAAGATAGCAGGAGTACATTGCTTATTTTTAAGGGCTCAGTCTTTGCTTTTTGAAAATTCAGACCTATTGCTGACACTTGTCAAAACGCCAGGTAGATGTTCTTGCCCACAATTCTTTTGGTTAACTTTCCTCAAACCCAAGTTTTTAAATGCGACTTTCAGCATCACATGATGTCCAAACAGGGCTTACACAAGCAAACATGCTTCTATTAGAATGTTTATTGCTTTCTGTACAGGTAAAAAAAAAACAAAAAAAACCTGTTCTCGTGGGCCAGTGTATGTCATACACAGAAATATAACTGCAGAAAACCAAGAGTGAAGATACAGGGGCCAAACAGATTAATATCTGCTCTGAAACTCTTGGCCAGAGAGATACCATAATTAACACTGATTCACATTAATTTTCCCCCACACCGATTACATGAAAAAGATCAAAAAGCCAGAAGATATTTTAGAATATCTGTGACAAGTTTCAACAAGTTTGAAAGCATATTTCCAATATTTCAAAGTCTAGATCACAGAAAAGTAACTAAGAAAGCTCTTAGTATACTCTTCCATCTGTGTATGTGTATGTATATACAGATAACCTATTTTCATATGGAAGGGAGTTATTCCAGTTGGCTTTAACAGAGAAGACAGCTGGAGATATTGCATTTATTCTGGGAATTTTCTACATCCTGCTCAATTGTCTCTCCAGAGACAAAAGCTATATTCTGTAAACCTAAATCAGTCATAAGGCTTGAACGAGCCTGACTGGACAGCAATGTACAGCAACAGAGCAGAGAAAACCTTGCTGTTTACAGTTTGTTCTGTTAAACACAGATTTAACAGAATTCAGATGCACAGACATTATGTTGAAGTCAAATTGCTCTTACCAAGGAAGTTAGATTCCAATCATCCCTAAGAGACAGATCCTGCCCAGGAGACATTTATACACTCCAGAAAAAAAGACTACAAAAAAGAGCAATTATAAAAGTATTGACTAATCAGTTTTAGTTTGCAAACTAACCCCAGACACAGCTTTGCTTGAGTACTCCCATCAACTTTACTGATAAGCTTCTAGCACGCCTAAATTATGCCTAGGGCCACATTTATTTGTACAACAGGAAGCTTCCCCAGACACATTTAATCGATGACAGATCTCTTATCATTGCTTGGTACCTTTATGTTACAGCCTAGAACCAATAGCACTCAGACTTCGTTCTCATCACAAACAGAGATCTCCCCTTCAGCTGTCACTTACCAGTGATATCACAAAACAGTGTCCCAATAGCTGGTAGTTAATCGTTGTACAACGCAAAATTAATTTTTGCTACAAAGTACTTCTTGAGATTTCACAAATAGAATTTGAACAAGCTTACTAAAATACACTTTACAGAGACAAAAATGGTGGAAGCAGAGACAAAAATAGAACCTAATGACTAAAGGGAAGCACTAGATGGCTATAAAGTAGAAATACTTCAGAAGGAACTGTAACTTTTTCCCCCTGCTCACTGCTTCACAGGAAATTCTATTCCTCACTCAATCTAAAAGTTCTTCAGCTGAATACAAGTTGCTAAACTGAATCCTCTAAGGACAATTACAGTGATGCATGATTTTCTAAGAACCCTAAAAGTTCAACTTTGCAGCTCATAGAGATAAGTTGTGTGTGTAAACTATTGCTTCATCTTAAGAACGACAGTGAAATTCTATAAGTAATGACTAGTTGGAAAAAAAAAAAATTCCTCTTTCCATGGATCTATTGTCCAGTCTTCTGCGCCAGAAAGTAAGTCTCAGCCTAGCCTCAAAGACAAAAAGAGTATGAAAAAGCCAGTTTTCCCACACATAAGCGTATGTTTTGCTGGTTTTTTGTTGTTTTTTTTTTTTAAAGGTACTTATTGGAAAAATATGAAGTCAGCTTTTCTCATAGGAAATATAAATAAATGATTTCCTACAATGCAGACAACCAGAGAAAAGAGAATAATGCATTTAAAATCTTTGAGGAGCTGAAGCATAAAGTTCTTGCCTGTTCAAAAAAAAATAAAACACCAAAAACACCTGATCCCCGAAGAGCTACAAGTTTGTCTTTGATTCTCATTATATTCTTTTAAATGTTCTGCACTGCTTTGTATTCTACCAACAGTGCCCCAAGGAGCAATTACTGAAGTTCTTAGCTCTTCTGTCAGGTTGTTAGAGTTCAAAGTGGTTGATCCGAGAAGGAAAAGCAACACATCCCAATGTAAACCTAGAGCTTTATTTAAGACTTGTAAGGCATTTTGCTGTCTAGAAGTAGTGTGCAGTTCCACTGCATTACTCACACACCTCCCTTGGAAACTGGTGACAAATTATATTCCACTGCAAGACCTGGGCACATTTAGATTGAAGAAAAGGAGAACCTCAAAATACTACTGTCTCTACTGGACATCAAAGTACTTTAAATAACAAGCAGAACAAACAGCAAAGTTTCTGATCAGGATTAGAACATCTATGGAAATTAGCAAATAAATTATCACAACAGTTTATACTGTGAATAATGACAGATTCTGTACTGATAGTTTTAGCTTACACTAAAAGTAACAAAGTCTGCACCGCATGAAATGAACACAAATGAGGCATATGAGTAATAAACAAGCACCTATGGCCTCTCAGATGTAGACAGGTAACAACTACTCTTGAGCATGCAGGTTAATGCTGTATTTCTCACCTGATCTTCTTCTTCATCCTCTTCATCTTCTGCCAAACGCTGCCTACCCACTTCATACAGTCTGCAAACTGTATCCATGTTCATGGAATCCATGCTGCCTTGGTTCTGAAGAGGAAATGCCCACACAGCAGTTAGTCCCAGGAATTAACTATTGCATTCACATTTAACACTCAATCTGGTCTCAGTTACCGAAACATAATCAAAACCCTCCCCTCCCATTTACTAGCATCTATACAACTAGCACTAAAAATGAGACTTTTCTGTTTCAAGGACTAACCCAGCAGTGATGCAGTATCTACTTTCTGCTTCTGTCATCCATCAGTTATATTCTTATGAACTTAAAACCTTCACTGGCTTCAGACTTTAAACCTTTACTGGACCCTCAACACACTCAGCTAGCTCTCACCTAGCTGCACAACACTTCCTTTCTCATCTGTTTCCCTGCTGTGAACACTGAACCATGTGAAAAGGTTAGAAGATGTCAGATAACAAGAGTTCCAGAAGACAGCAGTCTGATCCCCATCAGCCACTGCTACTGCATGTCCTTAAGTAACATTTCCAAAGACTCCTATCTTAGAAAAAACATTCTTATACTGGCCTCAGCACCCTAGTTTAACTGCAACATACAAAGTATTAAGTTGGCAAGATTTTAAATTAGTCTCTACTTATACACAGCTAGGTTACAAACTGAGCACTGACAACATATTAAAGAGCACAGAACTAGATTCATTAGTTTAATGTAACTTCCCTCACAACAAACCAGAATTTTCACTCAGTAATTTTTGCTTCAAATCCTTAGCTTCTGGGATTTTGCTAGGAAAGCAAGTGAATAAAGACAAATCCAAAGAAAAGATCTATGGGGTGTAAGAAGTATATAGCATTTTCCAGGCACTTGATGTAGTGCAAATTTTAATTCTAAACTGTTGCCATAAAAAGGAAAAAAATGCATTTATGCTACTGAAAAGCAAAGATGCTATACAGTATTTAAGTAGGAAGCATTTTAAGAAAGAAGGCAAATGCATTTGAAAGTTAAGAATTCAGAGGAAGAAAAATAAGACAGCTTTTAAGTTAAACTGTTGGTGGACAACAAGAGGTGAACAGCACCTTTACCACCAAACCCCCCACCACTAGTTAGCACGTGAATTTAACAGTAGGTTTTCACTGAAAGTTCTAAAAAGAAAAAAGACTACAGCTATGGAAACCAGAAACTTAGCTCCTTTACCTCAATGACAGCCAGATAGCAATCCTTGCTGTCTGTGCACAAGTCAAAGATATTCCGCTTTACATCTATGGTAGCTGGAAAACATCGCAAGATGAATTCAGTTAATTGCATATTACTTACTGCTTGCTGGGAGAAAAGATCTAATTACATATGTCTAAAAGTAGGTAACAAAATGCTGGGACAAGAAGCAGTCAAAGTAAAAGTGAAATGAATTTTGTAACTAGCTCAACCTGTAATAATTTTGGAGACTGTCATTAAAAAAATTGCCTAGGAAGTTCTTAACCTGATCTCCACTGTGCTTTTTCCCTTCATACATTTATGGGCTTCCCTAAGCACAAGAAGCAACCATAATCTTTCAAGACGGGTGGCAACCAGGGGACTGAACTGTATCTCCTTTCAACAGCAAAAGTCACATCTACATTTACAGCAGTAACAGCTGCAATAGCTACAGTATTGCTGCAGCAGCTTTGCAAGCTGTAGGCCAAACTGTCAACATTTTGGACTACTAGTATGTGAAAATACTGAAGAGAAAAGCAAACTAGCAAGAACAAAAAAAAGGCCCTTCCTGAAATTACATTAATGATGTCTCAGCCAAGTGACCTACTATCTCAGATTATGCCCTACTTGCAAAAAAGAAAGGAAAATGAAGTCAGAAGTTCTCAATAGCAGCAAGTAACAAAGTCACACACATTGAACAGATAATATACTTGGACTTGTTTCAGCATCAAACAACATCTACTCTTCAAACAGAATAGGTTATAGCGGAATTTGTTTTGCCACAAATGCAAAGGGGAAAAGGAACTAAATATTACTAAGCAGAACTTTCAGTAAACCTTCAAACCTCCATAACTTGCTCCTCATTTACCTATGGGTTTATAATCAGTTGCATTGAACGTCCTGAAAGAAGAGCCAAAAGGACTTCTCATTCTCTCCTCCAGAAGTTCATCTTCATCATCTGCCTGCAACATAGCTGATACAAGGAAAGATTATTTCACAGCCCCATCTTCCATTTGTCACCAACTTTAATCAACTTAAGATCAAACTCTGACAAGAATTTCCTTTTCATTTAATAGCTTAGCAAGACTAATTTGGTATCTATTTTTCCAGAACTGCCTTCACACTGTAAATCACTGAAGCTTAATATGGAGGATAAAATTACATTCTCAAGCATCATCAGGACTGCTGTCACGTACATTTTCTTTTTTCAAAAGGTTGATCTTATTTATTTATTTATTTATCTCTCAAGCGAGTTGCAACATTGCAGATGTTAGAGAAAATTGTCTTTGTCAGCAATACACACTGCATAAGCTCCCTGGGAAAAAAAACAACCACTAAATAGTTCACATATACCAGTAAGCTTCGCAGTTACACCCTCTGAAGCTTCCAACTTCACTGAACGAACATCCAGTTATTGCTATCAGAGATGTCCAAAGTGAATAATTAAGACTGAGAAATCCTACCTCCATACATAACTGTGCCCGTATAGTTGAAGACCACACGACACTGATCCAGCGCAGGAACTGTATGTAACAAATGGAAAGTTCGGAGGTCCCACTGAAGAAATACAGGCTAAGGAGCAACAGATCATTGAAAGTGTCTGTTTCCTTTTCTGTACAGCGCTGAAAAGATGATTAATTGCTTTCAAGAAACCTCACTGACGCTCTCTCGCAAACTTAATAGAACCAGTGTCAAATTCTAATACTACTTTCTAAATCAAAAAGCTTTTACTGAGGACATCATTCCCAATCATGAGATGCTACTGCAGTAGCTTCAAGGTAGATCTTGGTAAGGAAATGGAAGAGAGTAAAGGTATCACTAAGTGCGTTAGAAAAAAAAAAATCTCTCTCAAGTATTTCCATTAGTTCAAAATCAGAAGTATAGCCCAGATTTAAACTGTGTGGCTGCCTGAGTCCCCATTTACTTGATTCCCAGACAAAAGCTGTTGCTTCTGAACATAATTTATAATACATCAAACATTCTTCAAACAAATTATTTAGGTTTCAACACATTATCATTATGGCTGAGGATACAATTTCTGTGTTGACTATGACCTCTAACCCATTGGGATGGAAAACACCACTGATGGTCATGTTGAATTTATCAAACTTGTGGATGGCTTGCGCTGATCTGACATCCCAGAGAACACCATCATTTAGGACAAGGTCATCAGTAGGGTTAAATGTGGCACAGTTCTTCTTGTAGTTATTGGCGAGATCTGGGTTAAACAGAGTCAATAGCTTGTTGCCGGTCTGAATATCATAGATCTTTTAGATTAAAAAGAAAGAAAAACATTAGTCACAAGCTGTAATGTACCTGCACATTAACACATTCCATCATTTAAATCACTTCTAGAATCACCCTGGCCCCATTTTGCTTTATCATTTCAAGCAAGGAAATTCTCAAGATAACCATCCCTCGGTCAGTCTTAAGCAGTTCTTCCCAGCTGGAACCTAAGTGTCACATGTTTCAGCCAGCACATAGATTACAACAGGCTCGCAAATATATTCTAACACTATCAGGATAACCCCATTATGAAAAGTCAGACATGAAGCTGCAGACATAAATATACCACCTTGTCAGAGCCTATTTCAGAAACAGAACTGCTTTCCAGAGCAGACAGTATTTACAAATATCAAAACTGCAAAGCACAAGGGGCTGGCAAGGTCAGGGAATGTTGGAAACATAACTACACAAAAGAAGTTAAAAATCCTGGTATCTACACTGAAGGGCAATTTTCTGTAGTCTGTCCCAATAAACTGTAAAAAAAAAAAAAAAAAAAAAAAAAAAAAAAAATCTGTAAGACCTGGAAGATGAAAAGGGCTTTAACAAAGAACAAAGGCTCTATGGCCATTTTACATCAGTTTAATCTGTAACAGTCTACAGAGCCCAGCCCTCCTTCAAACTCAAAGAAACAATTCTCCAATATGGACAAACAATCTGTTTAACAAATAAACACAATATACAGACTGATCTCACTTCCAGATTATTCAGCTAAGAAATGGGCAGGAATTAATAGTTTGCTTAAACATGAGGCATTTATACAATATGGTCAAGCTTATACCCGTAAACAGAAGAAGTTATTTGCTATTTTCAAAGCTTCACAACCATGGCTCTTACTGGTACTTACATGGGCAATGTCTCCTTTTGTGCCAATGACTCTATCTTGAGAGTGCTTGCTGAACTCCACATATTGGTCATCAGGGAAGGAATGCCTATAGGTAGAGTCAGTAAAGATGTCAAGGAAATGTAGATTCAAACTACTAGTGAAAAGACTTGCCTTCACCATTGATTATGGCATACTACAATACTAAAATGCCCCACTGGCATTTTCAGGGAAGTATTTATTGCAAACACAGTCTTTCCAGCAGATCTATTAAAAAAACACAATCAGCAAATCAATAGGATCATAGAATGAATCATAGAATGGCTTAAGTTGGAAGGGACCTAAATATCACGTAGTTCCAATCCACTACAGTGGGCAGGGCTGCCAGTCTCCAGATCAGGCTAGACAGGATCCTGTCCAACTCAGCCTTATCACATGAATACAGAGATGAGGCATTCACAGTCTCTTAGGCAACCCGTTCCAGAACCTCATCACCTTCAAGTAAAACTTCTCCCCTACATCTCCCCTCTTTTAGATTGAAGCCATTTCCCTTCATCCTATCACTATCAGCTCACGTAAAAAGTCAGTTACCCTCCTGCTTGTAAGCTCCCTTCAAGTACTGGAAGGCCACAATGAGGTCTCCCTGGAAACACGTAATAAAATTACTACTACAAGAGGTCCAGCAAAAGTGTAACACTATTTGCAGGAGTGACCAACAAACTGCAACAGGAACAGTCAAACACATATACATGTGACAGTATGCTGAACTTCTTGTCTGAAGAATGCTCTCTAGCTGACTTACACAGGTCACAGCAAAACTGTTGCTTACAACTGAGGTAGATGATAGCCCAATCTTTTAAGGAACAAAGAGCCTCTCCTCCATTTTCAATAAGAACATTTGTAAATACTAAACTCAGTTTGACATAGCTTCCTTTGGAATATCCAGGTCCAAAAATTTCACTATGCAAAACCAACAGGTTATAAATTCTGTAACTGGTTACAAAAAGTTTGTCAAGATGACAATCGTACCAACATAAGAATAAAAATACAAACATAACTCTCTGCCTTCAGGAACAGGGGTCATCTTACTAATCTAATTGCATTAAATGACTCTCCAGGTAAGTACGATTTTCAAATATGTTTGTACTCAATTAAACAGGGAAGATATAAAAAAAAAAAAAGTGTGCTACTTTTCTCACGTTTTCACAACCGATACTGGGGGAGCTGCGCTGTCCTTCTATTTCACAGAGCCTATTCTTAGGGATTCTGCCTATATTGAATGTTTCCAACTAAATACCCAACAGAGATCAGAATATACTTACTTCATATCAAAGACAGACTTCATTCCCCACAACGCAGACAGAGGTTGGCTCCACGTAGCAGATGTCAGCAATAAGGATCCATCCTATATTTCCAGATAGGAGCGGAGGGGAAAGGAAGGAAAAGAACACCAGGAAAAACAGATGTCGTTGTTTTACTTGTGCACGTTAATTTAGACTGAAATTAATCTTGTAAGAACTACAGCAAGTTTTGTGCTCACCACACTGCTCTCATGGGGATAATGTCTCAGCATTCAACATTATACTGAAAACTCTTTATGCAACACAGATGAAGGAAAATATTACAGGTAACAATGGGAATGGTCTGTGAGGTTAACAGCAGATAAAAGCAGGATGACCTCTGCCTGAACTCTGATGACCTCTGAGTGGCATTTTTTCTGCTTTAAGTTGAAACCATTCCCCTTCATCCTATCACTATCAGATCGATCTCTCTCTAGAATCATCCCCTGAAAGATTTTTTTTTCCAGTTTGATATATTCTGGCATTATATCTCACAACTCTTAAGTCACTTTAAAACCCTGCATCTCCTCAATAAATTATCTTGGGAAGAAAATAAATTACAGAACTCAGAGAGGCAGTATGTAACTACTACTGCAGTACTTTGTTCACAGGCACTGCAGACCAGCCAGAAGGTGCACTTGAGATTTATATATCCAGATGTGCCCCAAATATACCAGGCTTTAGTCTATAGGAACTTCAGAACCCAGCACACGTCTCTAATTACTCACCCTTGACGGCTCAAGATGTGTGATAGCAGAGTTATGGCAGTTGTAACTAGCCTCTTCCTGTCCACTGAATACATTGTATAGTTTTAACTGCCCTGTGCAAGTACCCAGCATTAAGAATCGTTCACGTGCAGAAAAAGCACAACAGGTAAAGCCACTCTCATCCTCATTTGCTTCCCGGAACACAGATATTGGACGGAACCTAGAGAAGGTGGAAAAAGGTTTACTGGAAAGAACGCAAAAAAACAAAACGGAACTACTGCACAAAGCGATGATACTAAAAAAAAAAACCAGTCCTCACTAATTGTGTAGGCTGAAGTTACAGTTTTCTTCTAAGACAAACTAAATGTTAACTATAAGACTACTGGTCAAGTGAGAAGGTGAAACAGCGTCTGCAGTAATTCTGAATTTGTCTTGCATGATCAAGTACTTCTGTTACAGTACATCATTAAGATGAAGCTTTGAAGGCTGAGTCTGCCTTCAAAGCTGGACAGCCAAAAACCTGAAAATGCTGCCATTTGGATTTTTTTTTAAATACATCATTTTCCAATGGAAGGAAAGCCACATAAAAAGTCTAGCAACTTGCTGTGCTGAAGATTAAGCTGCAAGATACAGAATACACATTTCATTGTCCTCCACCTTTCAAAAGGTCTGGTCTGTCAGCAAAACAACCTCAAGGGTATGCTCTCTCCTGTAAAACTGGCATTACATACCTTCCGAAGGAGAACAAAGAAATATGAGCTTCATCAACCGACTTTGCCAATTAATTCATATCACTAATCTCAGAAATTAGTGTGTTTTGTATGCTTAGTACTGACCCTTAGTATAAGAGAAACGGAACTTCTAAAATTGCCTTGCAAAGCTCTGCCATCTGCCACTGCTGAATTTAAAACGCTTGTCTGTCCAAGGAGGCTACGCTGTGAGATTCCACAGCCTGATTTCAGGCAAGGCTAATTGGCATAGGGCATGCTCTGAGAGGGAGCAAGAAACATTTTTCTTCCTTACCTGCTAAATATAAGATGTCTATCAAAGCAGCCACCATCCACCCCTCCGTACTTCGGAAAGGCTGCCCTGCGGGTCAGCCGTGAGGTAAAGTTAGTTGGCGCTTGGCGCCTCTGTTTTGGCTCAGGACATTGGTGGGGAGTAAAGAGAGAGAAAGGGGGACAGGTAGCAACAGGGTTTTTGCAGCGGGCATGCTGCTCCCTAAGGTACTCTGTGATTATACTGTCCAGTGTGGGTGGGGAAGGAAGGTGTCTGTCCAGCTGCTTTTTGATAGCTGGGCTCTGGCTGTAGGCGCCATGGTCCGATTTTTGTCGCAACACTCTTATTTTTCTGCTGTTGCAGGGAGATGGCCTCTCCCTGACAAAGCTAATCCTGCCAATCAGAGGAGAGTTGCTGGCATAAGAAGGGCCTGGAAGGGCAAGTGGACCTTGGGACGCAGGTGGCCTTGCCTGAGCGTGGACAGATGTGGCAGCAGAACCTACAGAAGTGTGGCTACTCAAACGGGCTGAGATGCCATTAGCTATGCGAGGAGTGCGAGGCAGGGCCACGGGAGAGGCAGCAGCCGCAACGGGGGTGAAGGCAGATGAATGGGATGCTGCAGTCATGGGTAGGTCAGCCTCTTTAGTAAGGATAGATGCGGTTTCTCCTAGGCCCTTAGAGATGAGATGGTTCCGAATCAGGAGCAGCAGCTCCTTCTCAGGAAATGTGATTCTTGACTGAGCCACCACATCCGCTTTCTGCAACCGAGCCAGGGAGACATCTGTGCCAATCAGCAATGGCTTCCCAGAGACACGCTCTATCAGTTCAGCAGCATATTTACAGAACTTCACATGCTCACTGCGCTTGTCCTGAAGCACTGGCTCTTTCATCAGCTGCTGAATTTGACAGCTGCTGAAGAGTGGGAGCTTGCTGATAATCTGACGGACAGTACTGCTGCGTGAGAGCCCCACCAAGGCTTTGCAGGCTAATGCTCGGATCTGGTCAGCATCTGTGATTGGCATCTTTATAGACAGCAATGACAGCAGCACTTTGATGCCATTGTTGGACTGCACTACATTCCACATCTTAGCCAGTGTATGCTCACTGCTCTTAGGGGCCTGAGGAAGCTTTCGCCGAGGAGTTCCAGAAATGAATTTGCCAATACTGGAGATCCGGTTATCTGGGCCGCAGACACAATTGATGATGATCTGAAGGGCTGATTTCTGAATCTCAGCATCATGGATGAAAAATTCACCCTCAGCAACTCCAAGGATGATACTAATACCTAGTGAGGGAAAGAAATAATTTCTTTAATACTCTCTCTGTAACTTAACTGATGCAGCTTTAAGAAAGGGAGTCTTTCACAAATCTGAGAAAAATAGCTCATTTCTATTCATTCTGGGGATTTCTGAAGTTGTTTTTTTTTTTTTTTT